GCATGGACCAGATCGGATCAAGTTTTCGACTTAACTCAACTTGGTTTTTGTAGGTCAGGTATTTTGATTCGGCCAACTTTAATTTGATCTAAGTCAGGTCTGATTTGGTTTGGATTTTTTTGAACTAGTTCAGAACCGGGTCGGATCTGACCTGACTTGGTTTCTGAAGTGGGTCAAATCTGACTTGATCCGTTTTTAACTTGGTTTTGTCACAAAATTTTGTCAAAATTTTTACGTTGCAAACGACAAAAAATTCGTCACAAAATTATTTTTTCGTCGGAATATTTTTTGACGAAAAGCGACAGAATTTTTTCTCTAATGAAAATTTTTACAAAAATAAATTTTCTATTGAAATTTAGTTTTCGTCAAAAGTTTTGACGAAAATGATTTCCTCCATCAAATGTTTTAAACCAAAAAAGAATTCAGTCAAAAATTTTGACGAAATGTTTTTCGTTCAAAATTTTGATGGGAATGTGTTTTGACGAAAATTTCGACGAAAATTGTTTTGAGGGAAATGTTTTATTCAAAACTTTCGACAGAATTTAGATTCTCTAAAGAATTTTTGACAGAAAATTTTTTCCGTCAAAACTTTTTATCAAAATAATTTTTGTCAAAAATTTTTACGAAATTTTTTGATAGAAATATGTTCCGTTGAAAATTTTGATTGAAATATTTTTTATCAAAAAACTTAACGAAAATATTTAGTCGAAAATTTCCGATAGAAATGTGTTTCGCTAAAAATTTCGACGAATTTTTTTTTTTTGTCAAAATGTTTAACGAAAATGTTTTCGTCGAAAACTTTCGCTGAAATTTGAATTCTGTAAAGAATTTTGATGAAATTTTTTTCCGTCAAATAATTTCTATAAAAATGTGTTTCGTCGAAATTTTTGATTAATATTTTTTTTTGTGAAATATTGAGACGAAATTTAGATTCCGTAAAAAATATTGACAAAAAAAGAATTTCGTCAAATTTGTTTACAGAAATATTTTTAGTCACAAATTTGATGAAAATATTTTCGTCAAAAATTTTTGTGAAAAATTTTGATGGAAATATTTTTCGTAAAAAATTTTAACGTAATTATTTTATGTTAAAACTTATTTTTCATGTAATTGTGATTTTTTTCACATAATGAGTATGAGTCAAGTTTTGGGTCAATGAGTCATTATTAAAACAAGTCAGGTCTAAAACTGTTCCAAATAAAAGTGAGTCAGTATTTAAATCAGTTAAAAAAAATAAGTATTTATGGGTCAGGTCAAGGTCAGATTAAGGACAGGACAAGTAAATCAGTTTTTTTGCACACTCCTAAATACAGCTAAGTTACGACACTCTCTGCATTGTTGGCGGCTGCTGCTGCCAATCCTGTAGTTGGGTCCCATATTTGGGTGGAGGATTCTGATGTAGCTTGGATAGATGGTGAGGTGGAGGTCAACGGAAAAGAAATCACTATTTAATTTAAAAATTAATTAATTCTCTTTTCAAAAGATATTCCAAACTACTCCAGTGAACCCGACATGTTAATTATATTAAGACTTTTTCAAGTCTCGCAAGTTAAGCATACGAGACTTTATAACAATGACATTAAATCCTATACAGTTAACATGCGAAACTTAAAGATTCCCGCATAATAACATGCGGGTCTTCCTAGCTGGCATTAAGTTTCATATAGTTGACTTGCATAACTTATCCTATACCGTTCATGTGTGAGATTGACCATGTTAGTTTGGAATATCTTTTGAAAAATAAATTAACGAAATATATTGGATTAGAATATTAAAAAGATAAAAAAATCTTACAAAATTTAAAAGACAATCAAGAATTGTAGTGATTTTAAAGACTTTTGTAAAATATTTTTTTTACAATCAAGATTTTGTAAGATTGAATTTTAAAGAATTTATAATATTTACAAAGATAATATAGATTCTTAAGATTTTAAAAAATCATATGAATTCTTAATAAAAATTCAAAATTACAAGAGTCAATACAAAAAATAACAAAGGAATACAATTATATTAATAAAAAAAGTAAAATCTAATACAATTTTCTCAATTAATGATTTGATGTAACTTGATGTCCTACTTAGCAGCACTTCTCCATATGTCTAAAGCTATATTAACCCTCCATGCATTAGCATATGCTTGTTCCTCCTCTTGGGTTTGACTAATGGGTTGAAAATTGTCTTCTTCATTAACTAATGATACTGAAGAAGAAGATGCATCTATTGATTTAATTGGAAATTCATCTTAATGACATTCTTTGCGAAGAAAGTGGTGTAATGCTACACATGCTAACGCAAGCTCTACTTGTGTTTTAAATGGAAACAGAGGTGCTAACTTAAAAATTGTGAACCATGATTTAAAAATGTCATTCTCTTTTATGTATATGAAAATAATTATGATATATATAGATAGATAGAGGGTTTGATTTTTCTGCAGCCGCTTTATGTGCAGCAATGATAAGTATTCCATATATATATAGGTTAAAATATTTAATATGAGAAATTATAACCATACAAAAGGTGAAAGCATTAAATGTGGAGAATCATAACCAAACACCTGTCATTGCTGCACGTACAATAACTTTATATATGATTATACCACACGCACGCGCACAACCTGCTATGCACGGACACGTTAGATTTTTGAAAATTTACGTGTCGGACACCGACACACTCCGACACGCGTCCGACACGTGGTCAACATTATGGGACACGTGGTCAACGTTTTGACACGCTTTTCCGACACGCAGTCAACTTTTTCTGACACGCGGTCAATGCTCCGACGCACATCCGATACGTTTTTTTTTTTACAGCTAAATTTTATTTTATTAACTAAACATGAAAAAATAATTTCTAAATCAATTTTTTTTCTATTATGAAATTTGACATGAAAATTTAACAAGGTATGAAAAATTATTTTTGTTTATATTTATGTTATAAAATTTAAAAATTTGATTGATTATATGACTTATTATGGACTGTTATATAAATTATATTATTTATATTATATATATTAAAAATATTATTTAATATCAAAACGTGTCCCAACGTGTCAGAATATGATATTTTTTAGAATTTACGTGTCGGCGTGTCGTGTCGTGTCGCGTGTCCCATATCAGTGTCGGTGCATCATAGGCGCGCACGTGCACACACACACACACACACACACATATATAGGGTCCGTCTTGTGTCCAATTACTAGATATAAGGATTTGTCCAGTTAGAAAAATCCTAATCTTATAAAGGTAGATAAATGACGATAAAGAAAGAAAGAGAAATATAATATCCATTTTTGGTCCATTAATTAAGGGAAATAAATATCCAAAACGATCCAATTTTTGGTGATAGGATGATCAAATGACATAATATACGGTAAACGTGTATGTATATATATAGAGCGAGAAAGAGAGAAAGAGAGATGCAGGATTCTTTGACACCGGTGTTAATTTTTAATATTTGACGCCAAATCCTAACCGTTCATTTTCATCAATCAACAATTATCATTTATTAGGAATTAATAATTAATTAATGAGTTTGATTAGCGGAAATTATAACCGTTGATTGACGAAAATCAACGGTTAGGATTTGGTGTCAAATTTCAAAGTTTGACACCGGTGTCAAACTTTGACACAAAATCTTAATCGTTGATTTTCGCCAATCAATTGTTAGAATTGGTTGTCAAAGGATCCTGCCCAATATATATATATATATATATATATATAATGATGTTCATATAGGAAATTAAAATTAATATGAAAGGATAATAACTGAACAAGAAAATTTCATATGAATAACTCAGATAATTCATTAAAAATACAACCAATAAATTATTGAGTAGATGCTCTTTTAATTCAGTGACTAAAGCAAGTTATGCTAACAACAATTTTTTTCTATGTTATTCAACAAATGAATATTAAATTTTGTCTCTCACTGTGTGCCTAATATGGTGTACAAAAATTGGGAAATGTATTTGTTATGTTACATGACAAATGAATAGTTGTTATCTTAAGAAAAAGATAATATAAATTCATTGAAAATGTGTCCTCCATTTTGTAATATTATATAATTTGTCTTTTTTTTAACATAATAACTATTTATTTATTATGTAACATGACAAATGCATTTCCCATAAAAAATCTTGAAAAGATTTATATCGGCAATATACTTTGTTTATTTAATATGTTTATTGTCAACATATTACTTGTTCTATGATAAATATATATAAAATAAAATAAAATGGAACACATCATTAGAGACGACAAGCACAACCATAAATCATCAAATAATCATATAAGAAGAATATCATAAGGAGGAATGCCTAAACCAGAGAAAATATATGTGAGTAAAAAAAAAACATATATTGACTTTGAGAAAAAGTTGGTATAGATTGTGAGAGAAATATGTTATTTATATTTCTCATTAAAAAATCTCACAAAATTCACACTAATGGGAAATCCATTAAATAGTTAGATATTTGAATACCAAAAAATTATTTTTTTTCTTTGTTCAATACCTCCGAATTTGGAAGGACTCTAAAATAATATTTTAAAATCTTAATCAAATACTATGTGACTTTTTTAGAATCTTTTAACATCCTAATTGAATACCAATGTATTTTTTTCTCCAAAAATACACTCCCTAAATAAGTATTTTTTTTACATAAAAATCAATTGTTTGGCCAAAAAGCCTAATTTACTTAAAAAAAATAAAAATAAGAAGCAAATGACATGAAGTTAAGTTAGGGTAAGAGGGAGAGGATTTGGACCACTTGACCAACATGCAAAGATGTTGGGCAACCTGTCCCTTCGGGTACATCCGATAAAATTGGAAAGATGTTGGGCAACCATGATTAGCGCCTCAAATATTTTGATTTTTAATGAAAGATTTTAGACATCATTCCAGTGATTGTGATTACTGTAATTCATGCCAACATCGAGGGACACTTCCGGAATGTCACACCCACATAAGGAAACTTTTCATTTTTTTTCCTTAACAAAGCGAGACGTTACTGCTAAATCTAACACCATTTGTGTTTCTTAACCAATATAGTTTTAGCCCACAAATATGGGAGAAAAAACAATAGAGAAAGAGAACACTCTAAACCCATAGCAGAAACAAGGTTTGCTGTTAAATCAGGGGCTTAATACCTTGTTGAAAGTTTTGGTTTTGTTTGGAGGGTGTTAAGCTTCTCTATTCTTTCATCCACTATATCTTTCAGTTCATACACTTAATTTTTTTTATATATCCTTTTGTCTTTTTTTGTACATTTGGAGTTAGTTATAAAGCACACATTTGTGAAAGTTGTACTAGAAAACGTGGAGGGGAAGGCGCCAAGGTCTTTCATTTTGAGTGGTGGAGTAGCCGTTGGAGGAATTGCCAGTGGATCCGGTTGCAAGCTGAGTGTTTGTTCTAATCTCTCCCAGAAGATGGTATTCATTTCCCATTCATCTGGATTTTGTCTTGTCGCCTTGGTTGAGTCAATTTGAAGTCTTTCATTCCCTTTTAGTGACATGAAAATCACTTTGTTGAAATGGATTTCTAGTTATGGGGTTGTGATTGGGGTTGTCGTTTTCCTATGTTAACTAACTGATGTGTCATTGCATTAACAATTCAAAACACCATACTTAATGGATAAATGTGCATGTCTGTGTGGGTGAGGAAGACAAATTTATGTCCTTTCCTATGCTTGTGACTGTGTGACAGTTGCTTACTAATCCCCCCTTGGTCAAAATTTTCAATCATAATTTTTTTTCTCCCTCTTGGATGATGGTAGTTTTTGAATTTTTCCATTGCTCATGTTGGATGTTTATTCTTTGGGTTAGTCGTGTTTCAGCTAATTTAATTTATTTCTAATAATTGTTGAATATATTATTTTAGACTACTGGGGTTGTAGTTAAAATTTTGTAGATACCATTTTACAATAGGACAGATGAACTGCAATGGAAGAACTATAATTCCAACTGTCTTTTCAAATATGTTATAAAATACCACTGATCCGTTTCTAATAATGGGGTGTCTACTGATGCTTTCAACCATATTGGTTATTAGATCCATGTTGCAACTTTGGTCTAAATTAAATTATGGAATTATTGCATTCTACTTGAGCCATTTTTTTTATGGCCATCTAAAGCAAATGTTACAATTTTTAATAAGAAACTAGAAATTGTGTTTTATTGCTTTTTCTACTGAGCATATGTGGGGTCATATTTCTAATACTTTTGTGGGATTTAAATAGAGAATTTGACTTTTCCTTTTTTTCAGTGCTTATGAGTTTCATTCTAGTTGCTTGATTATCCATAAATTTCATTAGAGGGAATACGTTTCGTTTGTAGTTGGTACAATTAAGTTATGACACACTCCGCATTGTAGGCTGCTGCTGCCAATCCTGTAGTTGGGTCCCATATTTGGGTGGAGGATTCTGATGTAGCTTGGATAGATGGTGAGGTGTTGGAGGTTAATGGAAAAGAAATCAAAGTCCTTTGCACTTCAGGGAAGACGGTGAGTGTGCTTTCAAATATTTGTTAAAAGCTAATCCTTGCCTTCACTCATGCATTTTCTTGTTCTTTGAATTTACCAGTTTTACTTTGAGTGCCTTGATTTCTTTAACATGAATGACTGGTGGGAACCTTTGAAGGATAGCATAGTAAGATAGAGTGGCTTATTGAAACTATTTGTTCTTGTCTTGTAGGATGCCTGTTCTTTATTTGGTGTACCAGATATACATTTTTTAAGTTAACTCACAATTTGGAACTTTCTAATATTTGAAAATTTGTGAATTTTTGCCCTGATTTTGTTTGTCTTTAAATATGCAGGTTGTTGTTAAAGCTTCTAGTATCTATCATAAAGATACCGAAGTACCACCAAGTGGAGTGGATGATATGACAAAGCTTGCATACTTGCATGAACCTGGAGTCCTAGATAATCTGAGATCAAGATATGATATCAATGAAATTTATGTATGCATTTCAAATGCCAACTCTTCAAAGATTGTGTCAGTTGCATGGGGGAATGTTGCCCTTTACTCTGTGTTTGTCAATATCTACATATTTCCATACTTTATTGACATGTTCTGTACCAATATTTTACTTCCAGACTTACACTGGGAATATATTGATTGCTGTGAATCCTTTCATAAAGCTTCCTCATTTATATGATAGCCACATGATGGCACAATATAAAGGAGCAGCTTTTGGTGAATTAAGTCCTCATCCCTTTGCTGTTGCAGATGCATCATATAGGTAATTTTCATATCTGTCCTGTAAATAGAGCAAACAATTAGTTTACTAGTTGACTGTATGAATTATTGTGGATTTAGGATTATGATAAATGAGGGAATCAGCCAGTCAATATTGGTTAGTGGTGAAAGTGGGGCTGGTAAAACAGAAAGCACTAAGTTACTTATGCAGTATCTTGCTTACATGGGAGGGAGAGCTGCTGCTGAAGGTAGAACTGTTGAGCAAAAAGTCTTGGAGGTAAAACACTAAGACCTTTTTTTTTTGGTATACCGATTCTAATTATCTTTTTGAGGTGAGTCGGTCCCTCGGGTATCCTTATAAGTTTCAACTCTTTGAGCTGGCTATAAGACTAATCACAGTTAAAGCTCTTTGTCCCTCTCCAAAGATGTATTTGGTGGGGAGAGCCCGTGTCGCCAAATGAGCTATGCCCATACTTAGACCTTTATTATAGAGAAATATAAAACCATTAATGTAACCTCACCCAACATCTCCCCCTCTAGTGTGAGTCTGAAGCCTAGATTCACTTCCCCTTGAGGAGAAGCTTCTTCGAGTATTTATAGGGTTCATCAATGCTTGGCTTCTCATCAATACATTGGCTTTTTGATCAAGGCTTTGCTACACTCATCAAGACCTTGTCTTCCCACATCTTCAAATACTCGGATCACTACATGTCAATTCACCATTGGCTCTGATACCACTTGTTGGACCGGTAAGGGGAGCTCATGATGGGGAGAGACTGCCATCCATGGGCTAAATACGGGTTTAGACACCACAATCAATCAAAAACCTTAATGTTGTAGGTCTGAGTCTTTTGTACTTATATAGTCCTCATTTGGTCTATGTTTAACTAATGTGAAATTTCATCACTACTCACACTTGAATATTTCCAACATTCTCCCCTCAAGTGTGAGGCCCAACATCATGTTTTCCCTCAAAGGCAACGTCTGCTGAAGCCTTTTCTCTTCATGTATTGAAGTTACACACTAGCCTTCTGCGGATATCTTTTCAATTGCATCACCATCTCCAAATACTAGCCTAGCTAAACCGTTGGCTCTGATACCATGTAAAGAACCAAATCAATCCAAAAGATTTAGCTGTTGGGTGAGGTTAAATTAATGATTTTATATTAGATCTCTCTATCACTTTACAAATTTATTTTGGCTAGCTGATTTGACTACCTCAAATTTATTTATTTATTTATTTATTTTTTAACCTTTTCTAGCATCAAAATTTATTACAACCTTAACTTGTGTCCACTAAACTTGATATTTTTTGGGGCCATTTCTTTCTTTTCTTGCAGTCAAATCCTGTTCTAGAAGCCTTTGGCAATGCAAAGACTGTTAGGAATAATAATTCAAGGTGGGAGATAATAGTAACTTTACTTCTTATGTAGTTATATTGCAAATTTTTATGCCATACTGTCTTATTTGTTTTATTTTCTAACTTGTGACTTCTTCAGTCGTTTTGGTAAGTTTGTGGAGATTCAATTTGACCAGAGGGGAAGAATTTCAGGAGCTGCTATCAGAACTTATCTGCTGGAAAGATCACGTGTTTGCCAGGTGTCAGATCCAGAGAGGAATTATCATTGTTTCTACATGCTCTGTGCTGCACCTCAGGAGGTAATGAGATTCTTTGGCTTACATTAATTTGTTTCTGGATTGAATCATAAATGTGAGTAACTTACCATTAGAGAAAACTGTCTGAAATGGACCTGTTGAGTGCTTTGATAGAAAATAAGAGTTGATATCCTTTCCTTTCCTTTCCTTTCATCATCTTTATATAAATTGTTTGTTGTAAGATATGCTTTTTGCTTAATTGTGACAATGCATGCTGGTGTTACTCATAATTGTGAACTTGAGTTGATGGCTTAGAGGCTCAGAGCTTTTACTTGTGTATTTTTGTTCTTGCTGTAGTAGAAGATGGAAATGGCGTGATGAAACTTTAGCATGTCAGGATTTCATTTGGCCTAATTAGACATCTTTATGGTTTAGATTTGTTTAGTGGTAACATGGCTTCCCTGGTTTGTGAATATTTATTTATCTACTGAGCATGATGGGTAATAAACATATTCGGAAGTTGCACCATGTTAACTTTGAATGGTGGCAGGAATGGTCTGTGTTGGTAAAATTCTTTAATACAATTTAGTCCTTACTCCTCAGTATAGGCTATGGTTTGGAAGCTTTATACTCAAAATTGTGCTTAACTTTTTTGGATTTTATTTACTTCAAATTTTCTGGACCTTTTTTTGACAGGATGTTAAGAAGTACAAATTAGGAAATCCAAGAACATTTCATTATCTGAATCAATCAAATTGCTATGAGTTGGATGGGGTTCATGAATCTAAAGAATATAGTGCTACGAGGAGAGCAATGGATGTTGTTGGAATAAGTTCCGAGGAACAGGTATTTTATAGGGAGTTTGTTTAAGTTCATGGTTTCTTTAAGTTCATGATCTGTGCTTCAATGCTTTGTTTTTCCATTTCTGCCGTCACTCTTCAGGATGCAATATTTCGAGTTGTTGCTGCAATTTTACATCTTGGCAACATTGAGTTCGTGAAAGGGAAGGAGATAGACTCATCTGAGCCCAAAGATGAAAAATCATGGTTCCATCTACACACTGCAGCTGAGCTTTTCATGTGAGCAAACTTTGCACACTTGTGTTGTTTCAAGGTTTGCATTTCGTATCTTTTCTTCCTTGGCTCATTATTTTTATTCAGGTGCGATGCAAAGGCACTTGAAGATTCTCTTTGCAAGCGAGTAATTGTTACTCGCGATGAAACTATTACAAAATGGCGGGATCCAGAAACTGCTGCACTCAGCCGAGATGCTTTGGCTAAGATTGTATACACAAGGTTGTTTGACTGGTAAGCCTGCTAGCAGATTGGTTAAAGATATATTTGTTTGAACCCTGGTAAGAGTTACTGGGAAGTTTGGTCAATTTGCTCCAAGCATTAATCTCTGTTTCTGTAATTTTCTGTCATGCTTTTGTAGGTTGGTTCATAAAATTAATAATTCCATTGGTCAAGACCACGAGTCAAAATCCTTGATTGGCGTGTTGGATATTTATGGTTTTGAGAGTTTCAAGAATAACAGGTGTGTAACTGGTACACCTTTTGTTGTGTAATTAACATGTGTAATTCAATGATGTCCTCCTCAAGTAGTTTTCATATTCTGAAATTCTAGATTAATTTGGTGATATCATTTGGTTCATCCTTGGTTCATAATAACCTGGCTTGTGATTAAGAATACTTGAGTGATAAATCCCTTTGTTCGTTTGCTTTCTCGTTAAACTAATTCTGTTGAAATGTCATTCCTTTTTATCACTCATTACTAGCAGTCAGGGATTACTCTAATAGACATGAGCTGTAGTTCTATCTTTTGTAAAGTTGGTGTTGTTGATTTCGTAAATTATCCCTGGTTGTTATTTGTACTTTGCAGTTTTGAGCAATTTTGTATTAATTTGACCAATGAAAAGCTTCAGCAACATTTTAATCAGGTTTGTTTATGAAATATATATTATCTATTGCACGTATATTTGAAACAAGCAAAAACGTCACATAATATTTATTTATTTGGCATATTCTTGTAATGCTCAAATATTTTGTTCTGCAGCATGTTTTCAAAATGGAGCAAGAAGAATACAAAAAAGAGGAGATTGATTGGAGTTACATTGAATTTGTGGACAATCAAGATATTCTCGATCTCATTGAAAAGGTTTTTCCTTCTAACATTGCAAGCCTTTTATTGATTGCCTTTTTCTCTTGTAGCATGCTTTTGTATGAACCACACCCCATTAAATCCCGATTAGTGATGATAGCAATTCTTGTATGCAATCTTACCCCGCTTTGCATATTTGCGAAGATGTTATTTCCTGAATTTGAACTCGTGACCTTTCAATCTATTTTTAATAAGGTATTCATTTTTGTTAAACTGCCGACCTCAACTATTTTGGGATAAAAGTGACATTGATGTTGATGCTGGTTCATTTCTGTCAAAATTCTATATTAAATGTGGTGGTGAATGGTGATATTATTGTTAGAAAAATATAAAAACCATTAAAAAGACCTTCACTTAACAACTTAAACTTTTGGGTTGAAATTATTCTTTACATGGTAGTTGAGCCTCCATGACTAAGTGGTCAAGAGTTCGATCCTCACCGCTCCCATTATATAAAAAATAATAATTAAATATTCTAGAATTTCTTAGCACAGGTAGGCAGGACTTGATGCATTGTTCACCCTTCAAGCCCAATGAGCTCTTATGTGAGGGAACATATTAGATAAATATATTATAAAACTATTACTGTAGTTTTACCTAACAGCTTAAGTTTTTGGGTTGAATGGTTCTTTATATGGTATCGGAGCCTCCGTGGCTAAGTGGTTATGAGTTCGATCTTCACCGCCCTCCGCTCTGTTAAAAAATAATAATTAAATATTGTAGAATTTCTTAGCACGGGTAGACAGGGGCCGATGTATTGTCCGCACTTTAAGCCCATTTGGCTCTTGTTTGATGGGGCGTGTTAGGAAATATACTAACCATTAAAAAGGCCTTCACTTAATAGCTCAAACTTTTAGGTTGAAATGATTGTTTCACAGTTATAAATATTGTTAGGAGTCAACTCTCAAGCTTAGTCTAATATGGGTGGCTGTAGACAAAATTGGTAAACTAGGTTAATTGGCTATGGAAATATGGTATGGCAGCATTTTCAATGATTGAGGCATTTAGAATATTGCCTGGAGGGTGTCTTAGATGTTTCTGTTTCTTTATTTTCAGAGAAGTAAAACCGAGTGTATGGAATGCAAGTTCAGTAAGATGAGCGCTTTCGACTAGCTTAGAGATGAAAATTGGATATTATACCATACCACAAGTTGCATGATTTAGGTATCTTGGATTTATCATACAAAGTGACATTGTCATAGAGGGAGACTAAAACCATAGGATTCAAGCTTGGTGGATGATATGGAGAAATGCTTCAGGTGTTATTTTTAATTGAAAGTTTCCTCTCAAGCTTAAACGAAAATTTTACCTTATTTTCACAGTTGATGTGGAAGTTGCTCTAATATTTGCCTTGAAATCAAATGAGATACATATAAGGGAAATTTTATTTTTAGTTTATGGGTTCAAAGAATGACAACTTCTAAGTTGTGAATTTTATGTGTATTTAGAGACTAGGCTGTATTCACGACTTAATTAAAAAAGAAATGATACTTCTGATTACCTTGAAATGATAATTGCTAGTTGAGTTTACTCAAATTGACCCTTCTCTCCCTCCCCGTAAGGAGAAAAATTATTGTACATTTCCAAGGTGTTATTCATGATTTTGCCGTTATTCCTGTTAGCAGACTGATAACATAATTGTGTATTGCAGTTTGTCATTGGGGAATTTATTAAGATTCATTTGAAAAAAAATTTAAGCTTGAATTGTCTTACATTCATTTTCAGAAACCTGGTGGCATTATTGCTCTTCTCGACGAAGCTTGGTATACTTTGTGCTGATAGCTCATTCATATATTTTTTTATTTTTTTATTGATGCTCAGGTAGCTGTATGTGTGTGTTATGCAGTATGTTTCCTAGATCAACGCATGAAACATTTGCCCAGAAGCTGTATCAGACCTTCAAAAATCATAAAAGGTTTAACAAGCCCAAATTATCACGTAGCGACTTCACAATTTGCCATTATGCTGGTGATGTAAGTTGGGAAAGTTGTAATTTTTTACTTCAGAGATATAATAATTAGGATAGGTATATGGTTAATATAGGTCCAGAACGCTAGATGTGATTTATTCTTCTTTGGAAAACATGTACACTTAATCAGTGGCAATTGTAGGTCACTTATCAAACTGAATTGTTCCTCGACAAGAACAAAGATTATGTTGTTGCAGAACACCAAGCACTTCTTTATGCTTCCAAATGCCCCTTTGTATCTGGTTTGTTTCTCCCTTCACCCGTGGAATTGTCCAAACAATCAAAGTCCTCTTCAATAGGTTCCGGGTTTAAGGTTGTTTTTTTTTTTCTCCCTTCATTTTGGAAACAACTGATTTGTCTTTCTTGTTTTAATCATTGGGGTTGTGAAAACTCATCAATTGTCTTGCAGCAACAATTGCAAGCTTTACTTGAAACTCTCAGTGCCACTGAGCCACACTACATTCGATGTGTAAAACCCAATAATCTTCTTAAGCCAGCAATTTTTGACAACAAAAATGTTTTGCTGCAACTGCGTTGTGGGGTAAGGCTGTTAGCACTTTTGTTTTGGTTTTTGACTGTATTGTTTGTTCTGTAAATGAAGTTCAATATGAGATTATGTACGTTTATGCTTATTTGCATAGTTTGTCTGGTTGTAGGGAGTTATGGAGGCGATTAGGATAAGCTGTGCTGGTTATCCCACTAGAAAAACCTTCGATGAATTTGTGGATCGATTTGGCTTTCTTGCCCCTGAAGCATTGGATGGAAGGTATCTAGGTTATTCATCTTCCTTATCAGTCACGTTAATTATTATTCTAAAAATGCTTACTTGTTTCATATTTTAATTATGTTAGTTCTGATGAGGTCACTGCTTGCAAGAGGATCCTAGAGAATGTTGGACTTGAAGGCTGTCAGGTAACTATTACTATGTGCTCAGAACTTTAAGTCATTGGGAGTCTTATTTTTTGCCATTGCTGGAGAGCTGGTAACCTTTCCTTCTCTTCCCTTTTTGCATACTTCACCTAACTACCATTCTGCTGGCAGAAAATTTTGAAATTATAGTTTTGGTTTAGGAATGATCACTATTTGATGTCTTTGTCAGGTGTTTAACGAACATGAATTTCTAATTATGCCCATCTGTACTTACTGCTATGATGTTTACCATTGCAAAGACTTATATTATCTTTTTCTAATTTTACTGGTTCTGTTTATTGCCACAGATTGGTAAAACAAAGGTGTTTCTTCGAGCTGGTCAAATGGCCGAACTAGATACCCGTAGAAGTGAGATCTTAGGAAATTCAGCAAGCATTATTCAGAGGAAAGTTCGAACATATTTGGCTCGCCAAAGTTTCATCTCGCTTCGTTTATCTGCTATGAAGATTCAAGCTGCATGCAGAGGTCTCTGCTCATTGTTCATGGAGTATTAGCTCAGATGTTGGATTTGTGGAAAAACTTATAATTGTGAAGCCTGATGACTTTCTTTGCACTAATTTCAGGGCAACTTGCTCGGCATGTTTACAAGGGAATGCAGCAGGAGGCTTCTAGTCTTATGATTCAAAGGTATTTCCGCATGCATATTGTTCGGAAGACTTACAAAGAATTGCATACCTCTGTTGCTGCTATCCATTCTGGTATGCGGGGGATGGCTGCTCGTTGTGAGCTACACTTTAGAAGGCGGACTAGAGCAGCAATTGTTATTCAGGTAGAGAATATTTTGAAGAGCCATCACTACAAGATATTTTAAACAGTTTAACTATTCCTATTGTTCATACATCCGATACAAAATCAATGTTGCTGAGCTTGGCTTTAATTTTTTCTTTTGGTTCCAAATATTTTGTTCTTCCAACTCTGATGATTTTGTATATTGCAGAGTCACTGCAGGAAATACTTGGATCAACTTCATTTCATGAAATTCAAGAAGGCAGCAATTACTACACAAAGTGTATGGAGAGGAAAAGTTGCTCGACAAGAATTGCGGAAGCTCAAGATGGTAAACACCCTTTTTTTAACCACTTAATCCTTTGAATCCGATAATGAGAATTTGAAATTGTATGTTTATAAATATTATATTACTGATAGCACTCGAGATAATAGTTATGCAAGGGGAATTTATAATTCTGTGAATTTCAAGGTATATTGACATTGGGGTTGGTGGCAGAAGCCCTTTATAGCTTAAGGTTATTTAAGTAGCAAGCAATTAGTTCAGACAAAACTTGACTACTTTTGTGGCACATAAGAAGGAAACCCTGTCAAGTTTGTATAAATAGTAGTGCCTTATTCATGAGAACCCTGTTTGCACTTGTTTGGTTTGGGTTTACTTCGTTACTGTTGGAGCGAGCTACGTTTTCTTATGAATAAGTATGTTGGGAATACAAACTATCTGTAACTAATAGTTGAACCATAAAAAATGCTTGCCTGGAAATTATAATAGTGAGAGTCTGTTTTAATATTATGATTGCATATTCACCTTTTGATTTTAATATTTAGTTATTAAAAAAATTTATTTTTATTTTTGTTGCAGGCTGCAAGAGAAACAGGAGCTCTCCATGCTGCCAAAAATAAGCTTGAAAAGCAGGTTGAAGACCTAACATTAAGGTTGCAGCTGGAAAAACGTTTGAGGGTAATTGACTCTGGTTTTGCCAGTACTTAACTGTCTAAAATCATTTTACTGTGGCAAACTGGCAATTTTCCAGCAGTATGAATTAACCACACCAATTAGTTTGAGTAAAATAATTTTGTTTGCTCTGGTAGCATTGTAGCAATACTTGTTTCAGACACTTTTCTTAATGCAGAAAAATTGATTGTGTAATTGATGAAAAATATTTTTGTCTGTGATTTTTCTGACAAAGATATAAGGTAGTGATAATACTCATGCTAATAGTATCTTTCTTTGCAAAGCTTCTTAAATCTCTAATATTAAATATAGGTTGACATGGAAGAAGCAAAAGCAAAAGAAAATGAAAGATTACAGTCTGCTTTGCAAAAGATGCAACTTCAGTTTAGAGAAACTAAATTACTTCTTGAAAAGGAGTTGGAAGCGACAAAAAGAGTGGCAGAGAGAGTGCCTGTCATACAGGAAGTTCCAGTCGTTGACCATTCTTTGTTGGAGAAGCTCAGTAGTGAAAATAAGAAGCTCAAGGTGCATAGATATCTATGCTTCGTTTAAAGAAAATATTTGTATATTGATACCCTTTGGATATTCTCGCATTTTGCATAAGTTAGGTTGGCATATCGTATTATTAATATACTGCTTCCTGGAGTCTGTTACAGAACTTGGTGAGCTCATTGGAAAAGAAAGTTGATGAAACGGAAAAAAAGTATGAAGAGGCAAACAGAATTGGCGAAGAAAGGTTGAAGCAAGCTTTGGATGCTGAATCAAAAATAATTCAGTTGAAGACTGCTATGCAAAGGTTTTGGTTGTGAGTTAGCTTTGTTGATATTAGATAAATATTTAATTGATTTCATTTGAACAATTTCTTGTATCTAGTGTTTTAACAGTAAGCATCCATACTCTATATTTGCAGTTACAAGATCTCTATCATCATGACCATTTTTTGCTTTAATTATTATTATTGATAGGTTTGAAGAGAAATTCTCAGACATGGAATCTGCAAACCATATTCTTCAGAAACAATCTCTGCTAAACTCATCTGTGAAAACAATAGCAGTGCACCTCTCAACCCCTGTACCTGAGGTAATTTATACTAACTAAAGTATGTAGGTCCTCATTTTCTGTATGTAAGTATGCATCTTTTCGAATATTGAAATTTTGAGGGTAAATTACACAAAACCACCTTGTAGTTAGGCGTTGTTTCAAAAGACCAATTTAAACTTTCAATTAAATCAATTTACCCCTTAAACTATGACATTAAAACAATTGAACACATTTGATAATATTAAGACAATAATATCCCTACTCTCACCTCTAACTATTGCTTTTGCCCACGGCACCACCATTGACACTTTTACCACCCACTGCGTATTGCCATTGCCTGCGGAAACCTTTGCTTTAACACTATAGTTGCTCGCTAACCACCACCTTCTACTGCCACCTGCTGCAATTGTCCGCCGAACCTTGCCTCCACCATCCTCCTGCCGCCACCATTGGTTCTCCAAAACAAAAGATCTAATTGTGAAAATTTACTATATATCTTACATAAATTCTTCATCTTTATCAAATTAGTTTCTTCTATTCCATCAATTTAATTTATCAACTTCATCAATGTTTGCATCAGTTTGTAAGGTTCAATTAACTTTTTTATTTTTCTTTATGGTCATGAATGGGGTGCTTTCACTCCAACTTTGCATGTTTCTGTTTAAGAAATTGAACTTCCCTGGGTTTCTCCCGTTTCCCTATTGCCTGTGTCTCTATAAGCATTATATGAAATCTAGCTTTGGTAATTGGAAATGAGAATTTCTGCATAAAGATAAAATTCACTTCTTTTGTGTCTTCTCAATATTGCTAATATGTTTTTTTCCCCTTTCCTTGGACAATAGCTTCATTTCTAGTTCTAAGGAGATTTATACACAATGTATAATTCCCTTGAGAGTTTTGTGAATTATGATATTAGGTGCACAAAAATGGGGAATCATTTTAGTTTGGGGTTTAATCCATTCTTTATGGATGAGTTAAGAATAATGGTAGAGGCAACGACTATGACAGGGTAACTGCCGAAGGACAATGGTGCAAGATTAGTGGGCAGGGCCAATGGCTATGGATGAGTTGAGAATAAGGGCATAATTGTCTTAATATTATCAAATATGTTAAATTGTTTTAATGTTATAGTTTAAGGGGGTTAATTAAGTTAATTGGAAATTCAAGGTGGTCTTTTGAAAGACCACCCAAGTACAAGGTGATTTTGTATAATTTACCCAAATTTTAACCTGCTGAAGTTGGAAAATGGTAACCATGTGGCAAAAAAAAGAAAGCTGTTGTAAGTACATTGTTTGCTACTACTTTAATGTGCCTTTCTATTATAAGCGAAAGCGACTGTGTTCAATGGAATATAAAATGAGCTGTCTTTGCAGGATACATGTATTACACCTGTGAAACAGTTTTGTACAGAATCTGACACAAAATTGAGGAGATCTTACATTGAACGACATGTATGTGTTTAAAATTAGGAATCTAATTTTGTTAGTTTTCATAGTTCTTCCCGCAAAAGTACTGTTCTCAATTTTATACTACTGTTTCACTGTAGGAGAGTGTTGATTCACTTGTCAACTGTGTTACAAAAAATATTGGCTTCAATAATGGAAAGCCTATTGCTGCATTTACCATTTACAAATGTTTTCTCCACTGGAAATCATTTGAAGTTGAAAAAGCTACTGTATTTGATCGTCTAGTCCAGATGATTGGTTCCGCAATTAAGGTGACTTTATTGCTGTATTCTGAATTATGCTTTATTGCCCATGATAATATAAGGGAAAATGTAGTTGAAAATTTTAGACATAGAATAAGAGCATTTTATTATGAGAAAGATAATATAATTTGTACTATTTTTGCCTTTTGTTTTGTTGACTTTAATTAGCTATGAGCCTACTAAGAATGTTGAAATAAAACACAAATCGCACAACGCACATAAAACTCACAAAACACAAAAGATATAAAAAAGACCAAAATGACTCTCGTTTTTAGGAGTTCCCTTACCACAGAAAGCAAATGCATGTTAGTGAGAAGGATCATTGCCTAGTTTGAACCAAAACACTTGAAAAAGGGTATTCTGATATATATTAGAATTGTAAATAATGTGTACAAGGGATTCTCTATTTACAGAGAATATGTGACCTACTTTTAACCTAAAGGCCTTGGCCCAATACAACAAAGGGCTTGGCCCAATACAACAATAAACTAAATAATAATTAAATCAATATTATTTACAACACTCCCCCTCAAGTTGAGGAATAGATATTTATCATTCCCAGCTTGCTAGTAAGTTCTTGAAATCTGTCTGTAGGAAGCCCCTTTGTTAATAGATCAGCTAATTGACGCCCAGTGGGAATGTATGGAGTGGTAATCAACCCGCTATCAAGTTTCTCTTTGATGAAATGGCGGTCGACCTCAATATGTTTAGTCCGATCATGTTGAACTGGATTATGAGCTATACAAATAGCGGACTTATTATCACATAGCAGCTTCATAGGTCCCTCACATTTTATTTTGAGATCATCAAGTACAATTTTCAGCCACAGTAACTCACAAATGCCTTGAGCCATAGCTCGAAATTCAGCTTCTGCACTTGATCTGGCAACCACATCTTGTTTCTTACTTCTCCATGTCACCAAGTTACCGCAAAGAAACATGCAATAACCAGTGGTAGAACGACGGTCAGTCATGGATCCAGCATAATCAGCATCTGTGTAGACTTCTAAAGATAGATTGCCATCACGTCGGAATAACAATCCTTTACCAGGAGTACCTTTAAGATACTGAAGAATTCTCTCTACAGCCTGCATGTGTTTTTCCTTTGGATTGTGCATAAACTGACTGACAACACTAACAGCATAAGCTAGGTCTGGTCTAGTATGGGCCAGATATATCAATTTCCCAACTAGTCGTTGATATTGTCCTTTATCAACTGGAGGACTCTCTTCTTCATAGCCCATCTTGTGATTCTGCTCAATAGGAGTATTAGAGGGTTTACACCCGAGCTTTCCTGCTTCTTTGAGAAGATCAAGAACATATTTCCTTTGGCTGATAAAAATTCCTTTGCTTGAATGAGCTACTTCTATCCCTAGGAAATATCTCAGTTTTCCAAGGTCTTTGACTTCGAACTCAGAGGCAAGCCGTGTCTGCAGAATCTGTCTCTCCACAAAATCATTACCTGTGATAATAATATCATCAACATATACAAGGAGCACAGTAAGCTTCCCGTTTTGGGAGTGCTTGAAGAAAAGAGTGTGATCTCCTTGACTCTGTCTATATCCTAAGGTCATCATAACCTTAGTAAACCTCCCAAACCAAGCACGAGGTGATTGCTTCAATCCATACAAGGCCTTTTTTAATCGACAAACTTTATTTTCCCCCTTCACAGAATCAAAACCAGGCGGGATTTCCATGTAGACTTCTTCTAACTCACCATTGAGGAAAGCATTTTTCACATCAAATTGATTTATATCCCAATTGTAATGGGCAGCAAGGGACAACAAGATTCTCACTGTATTCATTTTTGCAACTGGAGCAAAGGTTTCTTCATAATCAATGCCATAGGTTTGAGTGTAACCTTTGGCGACTAATCGAGCCTTGTATCTCTCAAGAGTGCCATCAGAATTATATTTTAGGGTATAAACCCATCTGCACCCTATTGCCTTCTTTCCGTTGGGTCTATCAATAACCTCCCATGTTTTATTTTTCTCTAATGCATTCATCTCCTCTTGCATGGCTTGAGCCCAATTCCCATCTCTCAAAGCTTCATGTACTGATTTTGGGATTGAAGTAGAATCTAGTGCTGAAACAAAGCTTTTGTGCTGCACAGAAAGATTAGCAGAGGAAACAAAATGGGAGATAGGGTATTGAGTACAACAGAGGGACAAGAAGAACAAGATTTCTTGGAACAAGATCTTTTTCCTTTTCTTAAAGCAATGGGTAAATCATCAGAAGCAGTAGTAATGGGTAAGTCATCAGAAGTATCATGATCAGAAATATGAGATTCAGGACTTACCAGTGGTTCAGACGATTGAGGTTGCTGTTGAGGCAATGTGGGCTGTTTCCTTCTTTGATATACCAATTCAGGTGTTACAATCTTCCGTATCTCTTGTGTACTTGATGTATCAGTCATCGGAGGATCAGTCACAGACACATTAGGAACAGGAACAAGAGGAAGAGACACTGACACAGGTGAAGGAGTAGACACTGAAGTTTCAAAGAAGGAAGGTGATGAGTCTTCTGGTGAATCATTCTCCCCCTGAAGATGAGGACCTTGGAAAAAGGACTCAGATTCCTGAAATGTAACATCCATAGAAACAAAAAATTTCCGACTTCCAGGGTGATAACACTTGTAGCCCTTCTTATCAGGAGCATATCCAAGGAAGACACATTTAAGAGCCCTAGGATCCAACTTACTGCGATGCTGTTTATGAATATGAACAAAGACAACACATCCAAACACTCGAGGAGGAAGACTTTGCAAAGTTGGAATAGAAGAAAAAAAGGAAGTCATTGAATGAATAGGACTTACATGATCGAGAACCCGAGTGGGTAGACGATTGATCAAGAATGCTGCAGTAAGAATGGCATCTCCCCAATAGCATTTGGGTACATGTGTTTGAAACAATAAGGCACGAGCAACTTCAAGAAGGTGACGATTTTTCCTTTCAGCAACCCCATTTTGTTGAGGGGTGTCTACACATGTAAGTTCATGAATCATACCTTGATTTTGTATAAATTGGGAAAAAGAGTGATTGACATATTCAGTACCATTATCTGTCCTTATTCTTTTGATTTTTTTACAAAATTGAGTCTCAATCATTTTATAAAATTGAAAGAACAGTTTTGGTACCTCAGACTTTTCATGCATTAAGTAAACCCAAGTTACACGAGTGCAATCATCAATAAAAGAAACAAACCATTTATTTCCAGAAGAATGAGGGACCTTAGAAGGACCCCAAACATCAGAATGAATAAGATCAAAAGGTTCAACACTTTTAATAATACTAGAAGGGAAAGACACACGATGATGCTTAGCAAACTCACAAACATCACAATGATAAGACTCAACAGACTTAGACAAAAACAAAGACGGAAATAAAGACTTGAGTAAACTAAATGGAGGATGTCCCAAGCGCTTATGATGAAGCCAAATCAGAGAATCAGCAGTTGACTGGCCATGTGACAGTAAGATGTGATCCTTAACATGAGTTGCAGGAGATTGTGACACCAGATAATACAGCCCACCTTGCTCTTTAGCACCCCCAATCGTCTTCCCTGTGGCGAGATCCTGAAAAACACAGTGAGTAGGAAAGAAGGTTACAGTGCAATTTAAATCTTTTGTAATTTTATGAATAGAAAGAAGATTAGTAGAAAGTTTAGGGACATGAAGAGCATCTTTGAGATGTAAGGAATGCTGTAATTTTATGTTACCAGAACCCGCAACTGATGTATGGGAGCCATCAGCTACGGCTATCGTATGAGTGCCAATGGTAGGGTTATAAGAGACAAAGGGGTCAGCACAACAAGCCATATGATCAGTGGCACCAGAATCAACAACCCAAGAATGTTTAAAATCAATACATGAAGTAAGAAAAGAAGAAATTTTGGAGCTCATACCAGTCATAGCCAAATCACTAGTACCAGATGGCTTACTCAGAGAATCAAGTATGGTTCGAAGTCGTTCCAACTCATCTGGACGAAATGCAGGTTGGGTCTCATTAGGTGTAGGAGCTATATCAGAAGAAGTAAAATGCGCTTGATCACGCATCCTTGCCATCTTTTCTAAGACAGTTTGTTTTCCATGGAGGCGATAGCATAGATCCTTTATATGACCTGTTCTTTTACAATAAGAACACCAGCGATCATCTTTCTTAGGTCTAGAAGATGCTCCATCCGAATATTTTGGAAAGGAACTCCTGTAAGTAGAACCATCTTTTTTTGTTGAAATCATAGCAGACCCATCAGTGGGTTTAGAAGCAGCACCATCTTTTGATGATAACATGACAGATTTATCAGGGTTCATCATAACACCCCGACGATTCTCCTCTCCCCGAACAGTATTGAAAACAGCAGAAAGGGATGGAAAAGTTTCTTTGCCAAGTATCTGAACCCGAATAGGATCATACTCGGAATTCAAACCAGCAAGAAAATAAAAAATACGCTCATTTTCTACCTCCTTGGCTAAAGCAGTAGCATCTGCAGTACATTTCATCTTCAAACTCTGAAATTGATCAAGTTCAGTCCATAACTCCTTCAAGGTGCCATAGTACTCAGTCACGGATAAAGAATCTTGTTTTGTAGTGAATATTTTATTGCGCAATTCATAGCGCGCAGCCATATCCTGTTTCAAGGAATAAGTGGAGCGGACAGTTTCCCAAATCTCCATAGCAGAAGACAAGAACATACAATGACGACCCACTTCAGGAGTCATCGAATTCCACAACCAAGTCATGATAAGAGAATCCTCATTATCCCAAACAGCAAAATCGGGATCCGTGGCAGCAGGAGCAGGGCCATCAAGATGAGCAATCTTATTGCGACTCTTGATGGTAGTACGAATGAACTGAGACCATGACAAATAATTTGATCCGTCAAATCGATAACTCTGATGTAGATTTGGAAGATCATTGTGACCAAGAGGGGTCACCATAGATGAGGTAGAATTTTTTTCAGATAAGTTTAGAGTTGAATCACCGTCGGAAGCGGCCATACTGCAAAACAACTCAAGGAATAGTACCAAGAAGCCAAAAAATCACGAAAAATTACCAAACGAGGTCCGATCAAAGAGGTGAGCACAGATCCAGAACGAGCGTGGAGAGTCGGTCAAGACTGCACCGGTCCGCAGCCAAAAGCAACCGTCACGCGCTGTCACGCGCCGGTGAAGCTGGCGGCGCGTGAGATTCACGCGCAGGGAAAGAAGCGGCGCGTGGAGGCGCGTCTGACGTCCGATCGGGCTGGGCTTTTCAGGCGAAGGTCGTCCAAGGATTGCGAACCTATCTGGGGCTGATCGGAGTTGAATGGCCGCCAAAAAGAAGGTCAATCGCGATGAACAGTGTTCTTGGTTAGTGAAAAACGCTTCTGTTTGGAGGTGACGTTGAACGGTTCAGTTTGGGGTCTTGTTATTGAGGAAGATGGGAGAAAAACAAAGAGAAGCAGTGATCTCTCGGTCCAAGAGGTCCCCGGAAAATTTTTCCGGTGGCGGCTGATGGCAGCGAGGGTTTCGTAGGCGCGGAAGCAGAGCCCTCAAGATCGAGAGCTCTGATACCAACTTGAAAAAGGGTATTCTGATATATATTAGAATTGTAAATAATGTGTACAAGGGATTCTCTATTTATAGAGAATATGTGACCTACTTTTAACCTAAAGGCCTTGGCCCAATACAACAAAGGGCTTGGCCCAATACAACAATAAACTAAATAATAATTAAATCAATATTATTTACAACAAAAACTATTTTGTTTCTTTATTGTCCCCTCTTCCCGCTTAGGAGGTTTCATTATGCAGCATAGTGACAACTCAAATCACGTTATTACGGTTTTAATCTCTTTAGATTCTTACTCCATGTTATAATTGCATTGATTATTATAATGTCGTTGAACACAAAAATAATTGAATATGCAGTCCAGTGGAGTGTAATGATCATTATCAATTAATAGCTGTTGTGTTGCAGGTGAGAGAGTGTGCACGTGTTTGTTTGGTTTAATTCTTGTTTAGGAATATTTTTCTTGTGAAATTATTAGTGTTAGAAGTAATACATATATGCAAGCTTGAATATTGCTGTTGGTCAGTTTCATGGTTTATTGTTGTAGTTATCCATCCCTCCATTTCATTCAAAAGTTTATAAATTTGTATGTTCAATGAATTATTTTGTGGATATTTGAAATGTTCAATGATTTGATCCCAATTTTTGTGTGGTATTTTATTTTTATGGTGTTTTTCTGGTAAAGAAAAGTATTTGAGCACGCATCTAGAGTTTTTACCTTTCTTCTACCCTACTATCTTTTTACCTTACAGAATGAAGATGTCAATGATCTTATGGCCTATTGGCTGTCAAATACATCTGCATTATTGTTTTTACTTGAACAAAGCTTGAAATCTGGCAGTGTAAGGAATGCAACCCCAGTTAGAAAACCACCTAATCCGATGTCTCTCTTTGGAAGAATGACTATGGTAATGAATATTTCTTACATTGTATATAATCTGATTTCTGTTTAACAATTGAAAAATTCCAATTATTTATTTAAGGCAAAATTGCAGGGTTTTCTTTCGTCCCCTTCTTCTGCCAATCTTGCTGCCCCTCCATTGGAGATTGTTCGCAGGGTAGAGGCTAAATACCCTGCTTTACTTTTCAAGCAGCAGCTCACAGCCTATTTGGAGAAAATATACGGCATCATTCGGGATAACTTGAAGGAAGAGTTAACATCGGTTTTGGCACTATGTATCCAGGTGTGTTGAAATCTAGTTTGAAATTGTTCAACTCAAGTGAGCTTAAACTAACCATTGTGGGCTGGATACAGTAGGATACAATGTCTCATCCCATATAGTTCTCATTGTCCCCATATTCTTTCTTCCTTTTGGAGATGTTTTCTGGAGACTTCAAAAGGATTCTGAGTCTATATATTGTTTTTAGTCACATGTTTTTCATTCTGTTCCTTATTCAAAGCGCATTGCTAATATACAGGCGTCAAGAACATCAAAGGGAGCATTACGATCTGGCCGATCCTCTGGTAAAGATTCATCGATGGTTCACTGGCAGAGTATTATTGAATCCCTCAACTCCTTCCTCTGTACACTGAAAGAGAACTTTGTAAGAAGTGAAATTGCAATTTATGAACTACCGAATATTAAACAACTACCTCCCCGTTAGACTTGTTCATGTGATTTCTTAAATTTGCTTAAACGAGATATATCCTTTTGAGTTTTAGGTGCCTCCCGTTCTTATACAAAAGATCTTCACTCAAACATTCTCATATATTAATGTGCAACTCTTCAACAGGTAAGTAGTTTTTACATACATCATTTAACATAAGAATTTTGCATCATGTGTTTTCATCTTAAAATGTGGAAAGGTCAACACCTTTTTTTCAAATGATTACTAGTCTTCTTCTCCGTCGCGATTGTTGCACATTCAGCAACGGGGAATATGTGAAAGCTGGATTGGATGAATTAGAGCTGTGGTGTGGCCAAGCAAAGGAGGTACTTTGTTTTTGCTTTTATTGTAATGTGTTTATCATGAGTATGTACATATATTAATTGGGTTTTAATGAAATATGGTGATGACCTATGATTGTTGTGTGTGATTTTTGGACTGGTTCCCACATTTTGCTAAAAGCTCCAAACTAATTGCCTTAAGTTTGCAGTATGCAGGGTCATCTTGGGATGAGCTTAAGCACACAAGACAGGCTGTTGGATTCTTGGTAAGTGTGTCTTGTTTGATAGTATGGCACCTGTTAACGCTATTATCTTGGCCATGTTGTTGCTGATGGTTCATTATTTTGATAATCAATATTGGTTTCGTAATCACATTTTCTTTTCTTTTTACTTACCTTAATCATATAAAATCTGAGAGTTTCATGATTAGGTTTGGTAATACAGTATAATTCCAGTAAAACTAGATGATTGAGGGAATCTGCTATTTTGGTCTAGCTTGTCTAATCTAAATGCTTATACTCATTTGAAGTAACTACAGTTGTTTCTCCCGGACAAAATGCCTTTAGTATTGATTCTAGAAAGAAAATCATGCTTAAACAAATTGATGTGAGACTTAAATGGATCAGACATGTGTTGGAAATACATGGATAATTTCATCAAATCCATTTACATCCATGCAATTTGCTTTAACCATATTAATTCTTAAACATGCACATTAATTCATAAACGTGCACATCATGTATGTTAACTATAAGAGATAAACATAAGGCTGTCCTCTTTGTGATGATCTTGGAATAAATATGATTAAGTGAGTAAGAGAGCAAGAAGAATTTCTTCTATTTTCTTCTTTTCTTTGTTAATCAATATTTTTTTTTACTATGAAGTGATCAAAATCTGATCTCTGTCTTAATTACTTCTGCTTGTTTAATTGTTGTCATTTTTTATATACAGGTTATTCATCAAAAGTATAGGATTTCCTATGATGACATTATTAATGATTTATGCCCGGTAAGTATTTATCCATCTCAAGCTCTATGCGTGAGTGTGTTAGGCCTCATACAGTCACTAGAATTTCGATGGCTGCAAGGATGAGGTGATTAAGGGTCAAGATGGTAATTTAAGTTGTAACTACCCTGCACATGTGGCACGTATTTGTGGGGGAAGGTGTGAAATCTGCTAGAGGAAAGGATTAAAGGCAGAGACCGGGAGAGAAGGAAGGCAGACACTCATTCAGTTAGATATTGGAGCCTTAGGGTAGGGAGGAATATGTCTATGTTTTATTTTCTTGTTTTTGTGAGTGTGAGAGTGATAAACCAGTGATTCTTATCTCTGTTACTAGGTTTATCCCAGAAAATACCTAGTTCCTTTCAGATTGCACGGGTTCTGCTTCTGCATCTCTTATTAAATTGTTAATATGCATAATGGCCTATCTTTGATAGCATACTGGATTTATGAGTAGCAGAATTTGAGATTACAAGTTCTTGAAAAGATTATCTTTGTATTTTGCAAGGAAAAGTTACGGAATGTTTTCCCTTTTTTTGGGTACATTGGAGGTGCAAGCACGGTTGGAAGGAGGATAATTTAGAAAGGAGAAACTTGGAAAGATTTAGATGGAAGAGTCTTCTTTTATTTCTACTCCATTCTTTCTCTTTTTGGCTTGATACAAAATGATGGAGAACACACCTATTCATACAAGTGGCACCTCCTTAATCAATGGTTACGATTATGCTAACACAATTTTCATCCAATGGCTACTAGTGACTCTAGAGTTTTCTATAACCTCCTAGTCTAAACATTAATTATGGTAGGTGCAACACATTTCTTGGACTTTCATGGATTAAACTAGAATAAATTATTCTAGAAATTAGGCTAAACTATTCCTAATATATTTGGACCAAATAATACTAAGCCCAAAGGATCAAAATCATGATTATTATTCAACAAGCACCCTGATAGTTAAGTGGGATAAGTGGAACCTCCTACATAATCATCGCACCCAAGTCTTAAAGATTAGGCCAGTGCTAATTAAGCTGCAAGCTCATGGCTTAAGGATTCACATGTTTCTGCAAGTAGCAGTTGACTTGGTTGTCAAGATTGTTTGTGCATTTTACTCGATGAGTGCATGATGCTACTGTTTGGACTGAAATTTAGATGTTGCATTTAGTCTAGAGGGCTGGAGTAGGAGATTAGGGGTATTGATATATGCATGGTCACGAAATCATTGTATCTTTATCCCACTACATCTCAATTTTCGTAGTCTATATGTTTCTCTCGTGTCTTTTCCCTTTTATTTTTCTCCCCCCATCCCTGGTTCTGCTTTTTCAGATCTTGAGTATCCAGCAACTGTATAGAATATGTACTCTTTATTGGGATGACAACTACAATACTCGAAGTGTATCTCCAGATGTAAGTTTGTGTCTATATTTTCTACAATAAAAGCAAAAGGCGTGAGGATGTAAATGCTTGATTAATGCACCAAAATCTTCCTTCAGGTCCTTTCAAGCATGAGGATGCTTATGGCTGAGGACTCCAATAATGCTCAGAGCGATTCTTTCTTGTTGGATGACAGTTCCAGGTGAGGATGCTTATATATTTAGGTGGTGCTTTACATGCGGTTTGATCTTTAGAACTATGTAGAGGGAAAAATTATCCTCCATTATAGCGTATAGAAGGAAATTGATAATATATGCAATTTATTTGTAATGTAACACCTGCTAAGAGTAGGTGAAGCTCAAAGTTGAGATTAATTAGAACAAATGAAGATATTATGCAAATAGGCTACATATTTAATCAAATGACTTTTGTGTCTTTATAGCATTCCATTCTCAGTGGATGACCTTTCTACATCATTGCAAGAGAAAGACTTCTCAGACATGAAACCAGCCGATGAGCTTCTTGAGAACCCAGACTTCCAATTTTTAAATGAGTATTATGAAGCTTAGTATGCTTTTATAACTTTGTCTTGTCAAGGAAGACAACAAAATTAGTTGTTGGACCTTGCTAGTGGTGGTTGTAAATGCCATTTTGTTTTTATTTTCTCTCTACATCTTTTTGGACATATCTCTGCCTAATTATGTCCCCGCTGTATAGTTATTTTTTCATTCTTTTGTTACCCATTCAATTGTAAAATCTTTTTTTCATTAGAAATTAATGTTTTTTATGTTATAGAAAATAATTCTATTTCCTATGTACAAATAAAAGTGTGGTACGTATGTTATTTTTTTTCCTCTTTTCTACACATGATTTTTCATGATCTTTGCATATTTTTATGTGTGTATAAGCGATAAAATTATTTTATTATTTCCTATAATATAAGAAATAACAATTACATTTCATAGGAGCAGGGATATTTTTGGGATTTGTGATCTTGTCTTGTATTTTTCTTTTTGTCTTTTTTTTAATCTTCTGGTCAGTTGTAGTGCTTTTGTTTTTTTGTTTTTTTCTCTCCAGTTTTTGACATTGAAATGGGACCAATAATGAACATTGATATAGTAATGAATAGGCTGTTGGTATTCTTGGAATCTGAGCTTAGTTTTGGTTTTCCATTTTTTTTGGTCTGATCTGAAAACTCTATTTCAACTTAACCTTTTTTCCACCAGCAAGTTGCAACCTAATTCTAGAGTTACAAAAAAGTTGCCAGCTCTGCTGTTGATGTACTTCAAACCGTACTTGTGCTTAACAGTGTTTTAATCGTTTTGCAACCTAATCTACGAATAACTTGTGCTTTAATCTCTTGTGTAGCTTGTTACGTGAACTTATGGGATTAGAAATTGGTTGCCATTTAGGGTTCGTACCTTTAACAACCTAACTTCGGTTGAATCATGAGAATGTGAAATTTGATTCATAAATGAAAAGCTGAATAGGAACTTGGAAAGAAAGAAATAGGGAGATATCCTCCTGTCAAAAGTAATCACCGATTTTATTTTATTTTTCATCGAGTAAACGATTCATCGATGTTATATTTATGGTATTAATGTTTCTCAGTAAAGTTATTTCTTATATATACATAAAAATTTGATTTCACATGAATTTCACATACTTTTATATATGTAGAAGATAAATAAAATTATCTCCTATAATATTAAAAATATTGATTCCAATATTTACACCTAAAAACCTATACCTAAGTTTAATTACATGAGTTATTATTGTTTATTAACGTTTATTATATTGTCAACATTTTTCGTTTGTTAATAAAATTATATTGATAACCTATAATTAATTTATGGGTTTTATTATGAGTGTTATAAAACCTAATTCCACATTTCTACACTCACATCAAAGAGGTGGGGTTCGCATATTTTTTTATGAAGAAAAGATCCGTTTACAATTTTTTTTTACAAATTACACTAAGTATGACCAGTCATACACTTTTGATTGAAGTATGCACGGTCATACTTAGTGTAGTTTGTAAATAAAAAGTTTATAAATATGGGATAGGATATTGTGACACCCAAGTTATGTTACACCCATGTGACACCCAGTCAATCTCACCGTTAGATCGCTTATGTTGATCCAACGGTTATATTTATTTCCATCTTTGTATGGTCATGATTTTCCAAATTTAAAGTGAAAGCATTAAATATGGAAAATCATAACCATACAAAGGTAGAAATAAATATAAAATATTAAATTTGGAAAATCATGACCATACAAAGATGGAAATAAATATAACCGTTGGATCAACATAAGCGATCTAACGGTGAGATTGACTGGGTGTCACATGGGTGTAACATAATTTGGGTGTCACAATATCCTATCCCTATAAATATAACCTTCCTCTTTTTTTCTCTCTTTCATCATTTCACTTTCTCTCTCCTATTCGTTGTGTGTAGAAAAATGAAATTAGGTTATGTAACATAATAAATATAAAACCCTTAATTTATTAGTGATTAAGTGTAACCAGATCAATAAAATTTCATAAATTAATTCTTAATTCTTAATAGATTATAACCGTCAGTTTGATGAAAATCAATAGTTAAAATTTAGTGTCAAACTTTTTAGTTTAACACTGATGTCAATTAATCCTATCCCTATATATATATATATATATATATATATATATATGTATGTGTGTATTGGGGGGGGGGGGGGGGGGGGGGGAAGGCAACCTAAAATTAATGAAAGGAACTCATTTGATGGAGAACTTATTGGCTACAGTAATCTGCCTCTCTAATAGTCACATAAAAATATATTTATATATTTTAAATTAAAGTTTTACGATTGAAACTTTTATCGGCCAACCCATTTGAAATTCACATGGCTCAGGCCCCAACAGTTTCCACCCAGAGCACAAGCACACGGGTTGCAACCCAAGTAGCTCTACCCTAAAAAGAAAAGGGTTTGGGACCATGCTGCTACTGGACCACCCTATGTATGTCTAAATTTCCAGCCATCACAACTGTAATCTCACTAATTCTAATTTGATAATATGTCGATCAGAATAATAGGTACAAATTGAAATCAACACATAATTGTGGATTTAGTTTTTGGATTCGGATAAGCTTTGGTTGCAAGAAAACAGAGAAACGAGTTTGTTTTTTAGGTTATGATTTATGGTCCATGTTGTGTGGTTCACCTGAAATGCCCACCAAAATTGTTGGTCCATTCCCAGTGGTGTCAAGGTCCTCCCCTTATCTATGAAACCAAAATCTCTCACTGTCCTACCAACCCTAGCTTTGGAAATGCCCTTAATTACCATTCACATTATGGTCATATTTGGATTCATTCTATTATACGGAAATCTGGCACTGCTGTACTCTTTTCTTTTTATATAAATACGCGTATATATATTTAGAAAATTTCAATTGCTTAATTAAAAGCTATCAAAATTTTCCGCTGCGTGTGTGATTTTCTGTAGATATTATTAATAAAAAAATGTTCCTATTGACGAAAAATTAAAGTCATTTTTTAGTTGCTTTTGTTTTTACATGAAACAAATCTGCTTTGGATGGTTTGCAAATGCGAAAAGTTGCAAAAAGAATACGGAGGAGCGGTGCAACACAGAAACTCGCAGATTGAATGCAGAAATAATTTGTCTATAAATAGAGATTATTTTCTTCAATAATCCCAAACTTAGTGAAAAAATATACAGTATATCTTTTGAGTGTTTTTTAAGAGTGTAGAGTATTCTCGTAATTCCAAAGAGAGTGATACTATTTTCTCTTATAATTAGATAGAGACCGTAATTTCTTCTACTTAGTAAAAATCTTCTATTTTCTTGCCTGTGATTTTTTTTTAATTGGATTTTCTATGCAAATCATGTGTATCATTTCAATTGACGTATTTGATGATCTCCTAATCAGTGGAATTAAATTTACTAATTATTTAATTAGTTATCATTGTAATTGCATAGAAAGACTCTCACTTACACTTATCTGATTGTCTTGAAATTTCTATTTTTCTTAACTCTATTTTAGTTGTATGACATTCTGATACCCAACACCTAACAAATGGGTTTAGTCGAAAAAAAGATTACAAGAGAAATAACAAAAGTGTATAATTTCTTACTTACCCTCCAATCAAATTCAAAGAACGAGAATTATCTGTATAATTTCTTTTTATTAAGTTTTTGCATTGATACATTACATGCATGGCCAAAAAAGAAGAAGCTATATTACATTTATGAAAAGTTTGTCATATATGACATTATTTCAACAATTTATTACTCATGCACGATGAATTGTCTCCGTTTGGACCATGAAAAATGTAGAAGCTTCCACAAGGATAAGGAGCTGCTTAAGCAAATTGCAGAAATGGTATGGAAAAATGAACACAAGTTATGAAAATGATAGCAATTGTAAGATTATCTATCGATCCTACCGTATAAAGGATTTTCTATTTTATTATCTACTTTTTATTTTTTTTTCCAAAATTATCAATTTTAATCAGTCATTTAAAAATTGAAAAATAAATACAAATGAAGATAAGATTGTAAATGCATCTCATTATTTTTTTGCTTAAAGATTAAAAGGTAAATATTACAAATTCAAACATTCTTTATTATTATATTTTTTTTTAATAAAATATTAAAAAATGAAGATGTACATAATCTTAGTTTAAAAATAATAACACGGTAGTTTGTAACAATCATGGACTGAAATAATTTGGTCTGATCAAGTCTGAAAATGAATGAAATTGCTATAAGCTGCCTATTTATTCAAACTCAAAATGATGGCAACCATAATCTATAATCAACCAGTTAACCAAAGCAATCGCTATCATGAAATTCCTTGTCACAATTGCAAGAGATACAATCTGTATACTTAGCTTTGTCTTACTTGTGATATTAATTAATATGGAGGGAAAGTTCAGCGTGATCATTTTCAATTGGCACATGGCTCCAAAAGTGAATCCCCCCACGACTTTCCAAAATAGTAGACATGAAAGATATATATCCCTATCTATGTAAATGTACACATCTTGTCATAGTTCAACATAATTTGTGGTTTAGGATTCAGGAAACAATGGAAGGAAGTGAACATATATGTTCCCCATTTTTTGGGTATGACAGTTTGAGTGGAGATGGAGCGGGCCTTCAACGCTGCTGAACAATTTTGGAGAGCTAGTAAACATTTTTATCTCTCTCACACACACATATTTATATAGGGCTATAATAATTTTGTTTTCTTTATTAATCAGTTAATCTAATTATTTGAGTAATAATTTTATTTTATTTATTAATCAGTTAATCTAATTATTTGAGAGAAATGGTTTTGAAGGGTCCATAATATTTTTTAACCAATAACTAATTGTTTTATAATATTTCTATATGAATTTTATTTTTTTCCTTGAGCTCCTCAGAATCAATGTCGCTTTTATAAAGTTATATATAGTTAAGGTCTATTCATATTGGCGTTGAAAAATAATTACAGGAAATTGTTTCAACTAAAAATAAATAAAACTACCACTCAATCGGTGGATTTTTTTTACACAGAGTTCATGTTATTATACGTTAATTTTATTGAAAATTGATGTACAAAAAACAATCTTAACGTAACATGTTTTGTACAATATGTATACAACTGTAAATTTATTTAAATACTTATTCTATATGACAGTATATACATAGGAGGGTTCTTTTGACTCTAGAGTAAGTCTTAAAAATTT